GCCAAATAAATGTAATTTCTTTCTTTATTTCTTTCAAATCCTGAACCTACTGCTTCCATCTTCACTAGGCGAGGGTCACGGCATTCGAGGCCGAACAAAGGCCTTTGTTCCACGATGGACGGCTGAAGGCTTTCTTTGAAACACGTGGCGGAGACAGATTTTTGTAGCTGCAAGTATGCAGAATTTGTCATTTGGACAGTCTGCTGGAGTAGTCGTGAAACGTCTTGGAACGAAGAAGAAGAAGGAGTTAGATTTTTAGTTGAGTCAATTTTAAACTTCTTTAACTATGATTTGTGACTGGGTATACCCAGTATATAGTCGCTATAGCGAGAGGTTCTAAATTGAAGTCCAGGTAGAAGACCTTAAAAAAAACATAATAAAAGTATAGTATAGCCCATATTTCAGCGTGTTACATGTATAGTGTATACATGTAACACGCTGAAATATGGGCCAGTTGTATACCATGAAACTATTGAAAGCTGTAAAGACTTCCTCAGACCCACTGTTCTATGGACGGACGACCTATAAAAGATTAGCTGGATTATCTTCCAATTTTAATACAGTTTTAACAAAATTATAATTGCAAAAGATGCTTTAAGTGTTCTTGTTGTATAAACTTTAATTTTTTTATTGGTCCTTCGAGCCGGATAAATCAATGTTAAAGAAAACTGTGGAAGCATCTCTTTTTTCTCCAGTTATGTGGCACTCAACTAAAGTAAACCTCATTATAGTGCCACTTTGTACAAATAGCGTACATTTCAAGAAATCAAAACTTATTTCCCCCACATATCGTGTGAGAGAGAAGTAATGGTGCGCCCTTTGGCTCTCGACGTTTGATTGATAGGGCAAATCTAAGGGCAAGTTGAGCTATTTGTCGGTCCGGTGGGTCTCTATTTTTCATTCTTAAAAGTCTTGAGATAAAGTTGCAAGTCCTTTGGTTAAGTGCAACTACTATTGATTTACTTACTGTGGATTAGAAAGTAGTTTGTCATGAAAAAAAAAAAACTCATAAAACTTATTTATTTTTGCAAATAGGCTTTTAAAAATCACTTTTACACGTCCCAGTATAAACCCTACCACTGCTTAGGAACAATAAATGGGCCAGTGCTGAGAAGAAGCAGCGCAAGAAACTCAGTCACTATTATCAGCCTATGTTTATAGGGAAATTCACTATGGCTTTCAAAATGCTTTGTCATGTCAAGTTAATATTTTAGTTTCAAATATCAATAATTTTAATTATTAAATATATAACAATAAATATTTTAAAATAAAAGGGGATAATAATTTATTCAACAGCACCATTTATGCAGTTTAAGAGTAGGCGCACGCCGTTGATTTTTAGTTGGCCGATAGTTGTGCCCGATTTTAATTTTGTATAAAGAATCGGCCAAATCCAATCGGCGTAGTGTGCGCACTCCCATACATGCCCATACTGATCAACTGCCCGACTAAACTATCGGCCGACGAAAAATCAACGGTGTGCGCCTACTCTAATAGCTAGGAAGCGAACTCTTTCAAACAATCTTGGTAAAAAACATGGTATTGTACCTATATTTCGCGTCATCAGTTCGCTAGCGGAGCCAAATGGTGAGAATACATAATTTGAATTTGAATTTGAATTTGAGAAAAAATACAATAACCCTCCTTACTCGAGTATCGCCTGAGAGTTTGTCCTTTTGACCTTTTGTTCTCTTTGGTATTTTAAAAATAGCATGTACAAATTGCTGGCCAAGTGTTTTGTTCTCAAGTAAAGGCTTTTTCCCATGGTGACTGCTTTTTTTTCGAATTTAGAACACACAAGGGTCTCGTTCCCGCTGCATCCGATTTTGTGGGGTCCATTAATTTTTTTTATCCCCAACGGGGAAGCTCTTGGCCTGTATCTCACCTGATGGTAAGTGATGATCAGGCCGAAGGTGGAAGCGAGCTTTACCGGGAATCCTCAATCACGAGTTAATGCTGTTAACATTGTTGTTATGGCGACAGACTTAGGTAAGATGGTGGTAGCTAGCCAGGCGGACTCAGAACAAGCCCTACTAACCAACCAAATCGAACAAAAAAATCTGCCCCCACTGGGAATCGAACCCGGGAACTCTGCATCTAAAGCGGGTGCATCTAAACTGAACTGTCGGTTTTTGGCGGGACAAACGGGATGTTCGGAAAACCTTAAAATGTGTGTTCACACGACTGTACAGTTTTACTGGATCTTGCATTACTGGATGCCTAAAAACTGGGTTGCCGTGAACCAGCCCTTAGGAAGTCGCAAATGCCGTCGTAATTGAAAATAAATAATGAAGTTAAAACAAGTAATAAGACAAAATGCCGCTCAGAACTATTTGTGGCTTCCCTAAAACTTCGAGTATCCATCATTTATTTTACGGAACATAATTTAAGTTTTATTTGATTAATTTCCTGTCTGACTATATTTTTTCCTGCTTTTAGGCCCTATTTTTGGTGTTTAATTAAATAAAAGATGAATTTTTTGCTGGAATTATCAGAGAACATCCTAGTTTATAAAGCTTTCTTGAATATAATGTTTATTTTATTTTCTTTCAGATACCTACATCATTGCGATTTTACTGAAGGTAAGTTTTTTATTTGAACACTAGAGCGTCATTTTTGGACAGTATGGACGATAGTACACCAAGTTAAACACAGTAGCTTCTTATCTCATTGTGATACAAGCTATTTTGCAACATAAATGTATGGCTTGATGTGCTGTCGATTGAACAGTCAGCGTCAATTAAAAGTTCGTGACACCCAAAGTAGCCAAAAAGTTCGCAACACGTCTTTGTTACGATTGGAATTAAGAGCGTTTACGCGAAGCGCGGCGTTTCAAGAGGCATCATTGGAAATGATTCGCGCGCGGCGTTTTTTAATAGTTTTCAAATGTTTATAGCAAAACAATAACAATGAATTAAATATCAAGCGAAATAAATGATTTGATTTGATCGTTTCAAAGTAAATATTTTAAAGAAGATGTTGTTTTATTATATTAAGCTATTTTTATGTTGAATAAAGGAAGAAAATTGGTGAAAAAATCACTTTGATTTTTGGGTATTTCACGTTCTTTTAATTTGTGATTTCTTCTTGTAAAATGCTTAAATCTAAAAATTTTCTAAGATAACTATTTGCCCAAGGATCTATGCTATAGGATATAAATGTTTGTTAAATCGTTTTCACAGTATTTTTATAAAAATTTCAGCTTATAAACTGACGCTAAAGTGGAAATTTACAAAACCTGTGTGGACTTATCTTGATAGAATTCTTAAATACTAAACTAATCGCAATATTTTCTCAATTAACTATTTAGACGACGAAATTGCCTAACTATTTATGCCTATAACAAATTTGTAAGTACTCTTTTTGCGCCAAACGGTAAACGCTCTTAAGTTGCGAATCAACTTTTTGGTCACTTTGGGTGTCACGAACTATTTGTTGCTGACTGTACATGGTTTTTTTTTCAGTAAAAGTAAATTTGGCCTCATCTTTAATAGAAATTAATATTCCACTCTTAGGCTGAGTTGCACCACCTAACTTTACTGTAACAACAACGATAACTGGTGTATTTTGTATGGAGTTTGACAGATTTTTGACGTTTGTCAAAGTTAAAGTATGATGGTGCAACCCAGCCTTAATAAAGAGCATTTGTAATGTTAATTTAATTTAACAAATTGCAACATTGCAAATTTAATTAAATGATAAATTCTTTTGAACGGACATAAAGAGCGGCGATTGCGTCAGCGTTTTATTAATATTGCTCTATTTTAACTGGCTTCTGAACATGTTTATATTATATATGCAGCTGTTCATTTCCTTTGCCAATTCCAGTAAATTATTCTGTTCGATATTTCGAAAAATATTTAAACGAATGTAATATTATTTCTCTCTTAAATATTATCATATTAATATTATAATACCAGTTATTAATGTTTATTGTTCACTTTGGAATTGATTCGTTGCTGTGTTTGTTCGGCAATCAAATATTGGTAGAGCTGTTAAATTATTTTTTCAGTTTATAAACCCCTTTATAAACTAGCACTTTACACAACTTTTGAGGATTGATTGATTTGATATTTTAATCAGACGAAATTGATGACCATGACGTATAAAGCAAATAAAAAAAAATAGATGAAGAGTTTGTTATGAACTTGATAGAGACAAAAAAAGATAAAAAACACAAAGATGATTCATGAATTGGTGATGGTGTAATTACACAATATTTATGAAAGATTTACAAAAGATACTAACGATATAAAAGCAGTAACTACTCATCAATAGATATAGAAACTGCTAAATGATTGCTAACTTTCTACAAATGTTATAGAGTTAGAAAATTGCTACGATAGAACACCTAATTCTGATGAAGAAAATGATACTTATGATACTGAATCTCTTGAAGTGGTGAACAAAATTTGTCAGATCAAGTTAATATGATTTTACAAACATTGAAAACTCATGGGAATGAATTAGAAAGTGATGATGATAAAATACTTAATGGTTATAAAACGATGCTAATAATACTAATTATTTCGATGAAAAATATGCTAAATCTCTTGTAATGATGAATAAATCTATCGATACAAAAGCACTTAATGATGCTGATGATGCTACATGTTTTCAATTGATGAACCGAATTGATAAAGTACCTAATTTAAATGATAATGTTACCAAATATCTTGAAGTGATGAACGAAACTGTCGATATAATTGCACTTAAACATCCTAATGATGCTAAATCCCTTAAAGTAATGATTAAAACTAATACAATGGCTAATTTTAATGATGAATAAGATACTAATTCCCATTTTCACCATCTATGAAAACAAAATTACTGTAATGTGTTACCATAGGGGTCACCTAAAAATTAGAGATTGATGGTGAAAATTGACATCAATGCCTTAATATAATGACTAAAACTAATACAATGGCCAATCATAACGATGAATAAGATACTAAATCTCTTGTAGTCATGGACGAAATTATCGATACAAAAGCACTTACCGCTCATGAAGTTGTAAATGAGCGGGTTGACGGCGGAGTTGGCGTAGCACATCACGTGCGAGATGAGAGCGATGCACGTCATCACGTCACTCTGTTGCACGTCGTAGGCCACCCTGGACGGATAGAAGGGATAGTTGTAGTTTATAAAGATAGAAATTGAGAAGTTTTCTAACAAATAAAGTCGAATATCGATAGCAGATGAAATAAGGATCTATCTCTGAAAAATTATACAGTACGATTATTATCAAAAGTAATATCGATAGAGCAGCAAATTTTTTATTTTAAACACCGTGCGCGGTTTGGTGTTGAAAGACGAAAATCAGACTACTCGAATTGAGCTCAATTTACGTCGTAGTATAATTCTGTTTTTAGGTCTGTCGTAGTACATTTTGTCGTAGTATGATTTGTCATAGAATGTGCCGTAGCATGTTCTGTCGTAGTACGTTGTATCGTATTATTTGACTCTGTATCGTACTATATCGTTCCATTCTTCGTTAGACAACCAACCTACACAGTGTCAGCCCAAAACTCCGCCACAAGAGTGGCGTTGTCAGTAGCCTTCATTAAATCTATCTTACCATTACCATTATTTTATACTATTCAATTTTAGTCTTTCAGGGCTCCTGCACACGACGCCGCCGCCGCGCCTTTGCACTGTTTATACGCACCGCATGAACACCGCTGCCGCGCCGCCGTCGCGCCGCCGTCGCGCCACGGGCGAAATTATGCTTTGACGCCGCGGTGGCGGCGCGGTGGCGGCGCGGTGGCGGCGCGGTAGCGGCGTGGTGGCGCGCGTAAGAACAGTGCAGGGGCGCGACGGCGGCGCGGCGGCGCGGTGGCGGCGTCGTGTGCAGGAGCGCTTATTCAGTCAAGCGTTTTTTTAGTAACGATTTTCAAAATAACCACTATACGACTGAGAAGAATATTCACCTCAGTACAGAGAGCAGATGTACCGGGAAGTAGCATACGGCGAACATCACCACCACAGCCACCAGCATCTTGGCTGCCTTCCTCCGAGACCTGAGCTGGCCTTCCGTTGACGCGTTCGCGTGGATAGATGGCGCTGTACGGCGGTTTGCTAGCCCTAGGAAGAAGAAAAAGATTGAGATAATCCACCACATAAACAAGTCTTTATCTAAATCTGTGTCTTTATCAGTGACCGAAAAACTTTGAGGTTTCTCAAGTACAATTTTTGCTCGACCTTTTGTTGTTTGGGGAAATAGTACGAGTTGTAAGAAACCTCCTTCTTATGCCCATTTTCACCATCAATCCCTAATTCTCAAGTGACCCCTATGAAAACAAAATTCCTGTTAAGTGTTACCATAGTGGTCACTTAAAAATTAGGGTTTGATGGTGAAAATGGGCATTAGTCTTTTAGACCTTACAAAAGAAAGTATATAAACGAAATTAACGTATATCGATACAATTTTTTAGCCTTAACCATCGATAGACTTTCAGTACACAACACTACTCTGATTAGGACATTGCAGACTTCATTACACCCAATTGTGTAAAAAGTTGAATGCATGATGAAGAACGACATTGGTTGAATACGTAATGCAGCAAGTCATTTCAATGCTTGATTAGATTTAGATCCTTAAAAACTTCAAAGCCAGTATGAAGCTCTTGCAATTGTGAAATGCTCAAAATATTTCTTAAAAATGCTGAAAAAGTTAGGATTTTTATTGGCGTCGCGCTCCAATGCATATAATTATGACTCTATTGTAGCATTGTCATGCATTTTAAATTCAATTCAACTGAAACTTGTGAATCAATGCTTTATGCCCGCGGCTTCGCCCACGTGAAATTTTGTATGTCACAGAAAAACTTTATCGTGCGCGTCCCTGTTTCATAAACCGGAATAAAAATTATCCTACGTCCTTTCTTGGGACTTAAACTATCACCACATTCTGTGGTTTAGGCGTGAAAGCGTAACAGACAGAGTCACTTCCGTATTTGTAAATTAAGTAGGGAATGAGTAAGGGCAGTGAGGAGAGTAGGAAAGTAGGGATAGTTGGGATAGTAGGGAATTAAGGATAGAAGGGATAGAAGGAATAGAAGGGATAGAAGGGATAGAAGGGATAGAAGGGATATAAGGGATAGAAGGGATAGAAGGGATAGTAGGGAAGTAGTGAATAGGCTAGTTGCCTAAAAAAATTTTTTTAGTCCGTAATGTTTAATATCAAAAAATATTGGACACATATATTTTTATTTATCAATCTAACAAATAATTACATAGTTATGGTGCGTTGAAGTTGCGCACGACGTCACAACGTGCGGCATTTTTAAGCAAGCGTTGACGTCACGGGCCTCTTCTTATGAACTTTGGGGCGCTTTATCTCTTTAAATTTTCATTAGTTTGAAAAAGTGAAAAATACGTGTAGAGTATTTTTTGATAATTTAACTGACGGACTAATTAAAACTCTTGCTTTTTGACCCAGGCAACATCCCCATTAGGGAAGTAGGGATAGTAGAGAAGTAGTGCATTAGGGATAGTAGGGAAGTAGTGAATTATGGAAGTAGGGATAATAGGGAAGTAGTGAATTAGGGAAGTAGGGATAGTAGGGAAGTAGTGAATTAGGAAAGTAGGGATAGTAGGGTATGGTATTAAGTCTAGCTACTCACAGTTATTTTGTCCAGACTGCGTGCACAACTTGTGGGACTCCGTGTGCCCCGGGATGTTGTCTGACCGCCAAAGCACTCTGACAATTTGGCAGTACGCTATCATCATCAGGAACAGCGGGAATCTGGGGAGAGAATCAAGGGTTAGCATGCTTTGTTTGGAATGCCTAATGCTTCAACCATACCAACGCGTGCAGATCGCCATCGCCGGCGCGATCACAGTGCAATCATAGGCCAATGACAGGTCGCGCGGACTGTCATGGGTCGCGCGAACTGTCACGGGTCGCGTGACCTGTCATTGGCTTTGATCGCGCCAGGGATGGCGATCTGTACGCGTTGGTGTGGTTAAAGCTTAAGTGAATATAAATCTGTGTCTTTCTATTGGCTTCCAACAATTTTAGGTAAATTCTAAAAAAAGATCAGATCGAAAATTACCGAAAGGTCTGAATATAACTTTAGTAGTTTAGTTTTAATGTTATTTTATTTATGCCTTTTATTAAAAATAATATGTATTTAAAATAGTTCGTAGACCAAATTTCAAATATCTTTGTTTTTTATTTATTCGGCCAAGAAAATTAAAATTTAAAAGCTTGTCAAGGGATTAAGAATTCTACTTTAATTATAAAAATCTTCATTGGAGCGTATAAGGTTACTCAATTAATTTTGTTGAATAGGTTAAGCTACATTTTAGGTTGTGCCTTGCGCCTTTAAATAAATAAACGATAAAGTGTTGTTCAAATTGGTCTGCTCGTAGATTCATTTTATATTCTTACCTCCTTTTTCTAAATCTAAATACAGATGTCTATATGTCACTATAGCCTGACCAGGAACATAAAAACCCTCGCCATGTTGCGGAAAACTATTGGTACTAATTTCTTATAATGGCAACAGTAACTGAAAACTTCATTGACATGTCACCTTGCATGTTTTAAATGTGCGCAATTGATTTTGTGCCATATTTTAAATGTGCGCAATTGATTTTGTAAATTAAATTGCTAAAATCTTTTTATAGTCGTGAAAGAAAAGTGGTTCACAATGTGTTAAAGTCTTTGTCGAAGAGAAATACTAAGGGTTCGGATAATATTTTCATGAATAATGTTTCCGACAAAGGTTGTCAAATTGACTGACATGTTTATCGTATAGTACAGTCCACTATGAAAATTAGGTTTAATTAGGTGTGGTTTGTTTCAACTACCTATTTTAAATTTTTTGTTACTTTAGTGTTGAATTTTATGGAATTGGGAAAGAAGTACCGAGTTTGAAGCGTTCATGAGCAGACATTGCAGTTGAATATTCAAGTTCTGAATTTGATTATTGATGAATATTAAAATAAATCCTACCAGCTCGATTGATGGTTTCATTTAATTTATTTAAACCAGGTTACCTATAATAATATTTTTTCGTTAATTTATAATAATATCAAATTAGCCCGTAATCCTGAATCCTGATACACAAAGTTAGCCTAATAATTTAACACAGGTACGACTGTACTCAGTGTTGCACTATCAAATGCAATTGACGCGCCTCTATGACAGGGTTTTTATGTTCCTGGTCAGGCTTATACAAACGTTTCCTGCATTTTAGAGCCATTCTAAATTGAGTAGTCAATACGGACAAAGACAATAGCATGGTTTGGATCCGGTATTTCGGATGAACTCGAGTGGTTGAAGGACCACTCGTTTAAATTGAGCCCGTATTGATAGATTGTGAAGCTAGAAACACTGCACTAGTACTAGGAATACGGTTACAAGTACTGTTTAATTGGCGACAATGGCTACAATTTAAAGGCTATTGTTAGGAGAGTGTGTAAAGTCCGTATGCTCAGTCAGTACTTTAATTTGTTGTAACTTAATTTAACAGTGCATAGTTTTAACAAAACACGTTGTGCTTGAAAATAGAATTTAGAGATCGTTCTGATTCGTTTAGCCAAACCAACGCGTGCAGGTCACGTCGGCGATGGCGATAACTGCGCATACAGGACTCGCGTCCTAGCATTGGCCTATGCACATCATAAGCAGTGTTTTTTACCACAAAATTTAAACCTAGTTGAAAGTGCTGTCGACTGTAGGAACTTTTTTTACTAACAACTAAAGCATAGATTTTTGCAAAGTAACGTACCATAGAGTAATCAAAACTTACGTGTAAAGGAAGATCGCCTTTATGATATGCCATTTGAGGTCACTGTCGTCTGACCAAGTGGATGCGCATTGCATAAAGTACTGCGCATTGAAACGAAGTTGCATCTTCCGTTGTACTTGAAGCATCACGAACTCTGGTATGTCTGTGGACAAAGAGAATCATGTAGAGCTTTGTATATAGCAATAACAATCGTTAACTTTTTTTTATCTACAACGAGGGAGCTCTTGGTCTGTATCTCACTTGATGGTAAGTGACGATCAGGCCGAAGGTGGAAGCCGGAATCCTCAAATATACCCACTGATGACAAAACATCAAACGCTAGTTTAAAAAAACAGAGCAAAATTATTTATTTTCCTTAGCAAACACAATGGCCGCGTTCTGAAAAATGCTGTCCTTTATTATTTTATTTCTTCCGCCTTCCTTTATTCCCAAATTATGGAAATTAATTGGCATGGTTGTCTGGAATATTTATTAGTATTTATCGTGCGACAGGCATTACGAGTCTTGTTAGGCCAAATACTTCAGTGGAGAAGATAAATGCCTAAATATCTTTTACAAGGTCTTTTGATAAGTAAGTTGGTATAGTCTGGTCTGTGAGCACGTAGAATTTTGTCCAATGACCCCAAGCTACCCATCCTTATCGCTCGCGCGTAATTATGTTGCTGTCGCGCTCGCACACTCACTGCGGGCGCCCGTCGCACAGTCGCGACAGCAAAATAATTACGCGCGAGGATGGGTAGCTTGGGGTCATTGGACAAAATTCTACGTGCTCACAGACCGGGCTTTAGTTTACTTACGCCCGTATTCACAAACATTACTATGAGGTCTCACAGTGCACGTGGACGCACAGGATGACACACGGACCGATCACAGAGCTCTATTCAACGCTGTGCGTTTAGATTTGCTGCTTCACTTATGCGATGTATCGTTTGTGGTGTGGCCAAAAACAATATGGAGCCACCGTTAGTATGAAAGTAAATTATTCCCTTCACACCACAGTTAGAAGTCGAAACTCCTGGAGTGGACTGTAGGTGTTGGTTTTGCGGTTTGTACTATTTTGCCTTGAATGACAATCGATCTCCATAAAATAATGAGAAATAAAAGTGAACGTGGGCCAGCAGACACATGGGGAGGATGGAAATGTGAAAGGTAAAAGACTCACGAGAGATATTTGTAGACAAGATCCTTGGTATGATGAGCTGGGTTTTTCGGGCGCTGGCGTCCAGGTGGTATCGTCTACCTGGACGTCTTCTTCGATGATGATGATCGAGTAAGGAGGTATTTCACACACCCAATGTACTGCACTATGTGGTCCACGAAGTACACTCGCGGGAGATCTCCAAAATGCGATTAACACAATATAAAACGATAAATAAATTCAGTCCAGAGCTGTGGGACCGAACGCGGCGCGGGAGATGCTTTCAACGTCACATTGCAAGCCAAACTGATGATCCTATAGTCGATGCAGAGGGCGTAGATGTTGCAAATCTCTCGATGCTTTCTTCTCACTCTCTCAAGGGCACCTAGTATGCGGGCAAGGGAGAGGGAAAATAAGAAATGCGGAAGGAGGAAGGATTCTAGTGTCTGCAGGCAAAACACCGATATTCATGTGATTAGAAAAAAACCTTAGATTAGGCGCGAAAGTTTAAAAATAGAAAAGATTATATTATGGCGGCACCAGATTGTGAACACGGGCGTTAGACTGTTGACTGGTAGACATTAAATCACACATTTTAAGTTGTAATTCTAAAAGAACATATCATTTTGTGTTGCTAAGTTGCTATACAAGAAGAAAAAAGTAAACAACAATATAATTCAGCTGAAATATATTTAATTTCAATTTGTTTATCAGTTCACAAGATTTATACAAAGCTTAGGTATTCTTACAAAGCCAAAAAGATATCGAATAGGTCGGATTTTCGCCCGGATGTCTAGAATTATTTATTCCTCTACGAGACGTTGATCGTGAGTTATGCCTTACGTTCATAATGATATGGTAATGCACATGCCAGGGAGGCACGTGATAGAATTAGACAGACCGTGTATCAAGATCGATCGTAGAGTACCTTGTAGAGGATCAGGCTGCAAATTGTAGGTAATTTAAAAAAGTTTTGTACAGATAAAAGACAGTATCTTCCTCTTTCTGTTGTTTAACGGCACTCAAACCTCTTTAGAAGTCAAGACGGTGTTTTGTGGCTGTTAACATAGATCACAGCTGTCAAAATATGGACGTCCAAATGGACCGTGTCGCACTCAAAAATTAAGGAACGGAAATAATATGAACTTAAGTGGCTACAATAATTGTGGAAACACTACTTGTTTAGGTATGTAGTATTTGTAACAAGTTCACTCAGGAGCAATATTTTCTATTTATGTGAACTCTAACTTAAAAGTGGAAAGTGTTAAACTACTTAGACAAGAATTTATAATTTGCAGCATGTTTCTACCGCACTCGGGCGACTGTAGCTCATTCAAAGGTATTGTAGTCATTCCACTCTTGACACAAACATAATTTACCTCCTTCTCCTTAAATAATACTTTATTTCATCTGTTCCATAGCAAACTAAAGCCGAACGTCCACCGACGGCTAAACTAAGTTAATTTAGCTTAGCTCGCATAGTTGAGCCAGTTTTTCATACATGTGCGACGTGCGTCCACCGCAAACTATGCCACATGTATGAAAAACTGGCTCAACTATGCGAGCTAAGCTAAACTAATTTAGTTTAGCGGGCGGTGGACGTTCGGTTTAAGGGACGGTTGCACCATTACTTTAACTTTAACAAACGTCAAAAAACTGTCAAACTCCATACAAAAAACACCGGTTATCGATATAATTACGGTCAAAGTTAGGTGGTGCAACTCAGCTTAACTGTACTAACACTACTAACTAGTACTGTTCTATTTATGGTTAAAATCCACTCAAAGTGCTGTTTGTGCAAGAGTCCCGCGTATGGCACATTAGTGCCGCAATCCGCTTAGCTTTAAGCCGGGTCTACATCCACTTAATGTATCGTTATGATACCGCTAAGGTTTGCAAACGTTTGCGTCTAGTTTCTATTTTAGATTGTGGGTAGACCCCCTACTAAAATGGCAACAGCTAACTCGTGAACCACTTGCTATTTTTAGATTCTAGGTAGACCAGTAGTAATAGGTGGGGATTCTTGGATGGCTCAAACTTGGAGTGCAAGTGTGGTTTTGTTCCCCAGTCGACGAAGCACATGATGTCGTGCCCTGCGTGCCCAAACAACTGCACGCAGGAAGATTTCATGAAGGCTACTGACAACGCCACTCTTGTGGTGGAGTTTTGGGCTGACGCTGTGTAATTTTGTTGTCGACACGACAAGAAGGAGAAGATAGGTTATAGGCAAGTTATTCAGAATTGATTTTGATTTGTGAGGAAAATTGGGGGAAGGGGATTTGCATAGTTATAACTTCTCGCCTCAACCCACAGTCATGTACCCACTATCCACTTAAAAGACCTGTAATGGTTCGTAACGCATCACTTGACCTTTAGGCAGGCCTGTTCATCTCCGCTAGTTTGCATGGAAAACAAAATACGCGCGACGACACCTTCTAGGATAACTAATCGACAGGACAATCACGAGCGAGCATTGACGCACGAGCGCGTATTCTTCACCTATTTGCATTGTAGAGACATAAACTATGTGTATTGGAAAGTAGATAAAACGTTTCGTCATTTTCATGGTCTTTATACGTTTAAAATCCATCCATAAATTCTGAACCAGTTAAAGTTTAGCCTCGTGCCGTTTGGAATGTTCGTGATACGTTCGGACACGGAAAATGATACATTATCGTGTAGACCGGACTTAATATCCGTTGCCCCAACGGCGATTTTGAAACCGTCGCATTTGGAATTTCTACGATCGAGTACTCCGTCATTGCACTGTTATAAGAAAGAAAGAAAGATACATTTATTACAATGGACATCACACAAATACAGGCAATTACATAGACATGACAGTGGCACATAATAATGAAAGAAGAAAAAATAAAAATAAAAACAAGAGTAAACTGAGTAGTGCCACCCATTAACCAACAAGATGCCCACTGCAACGGGACCTCACTCAGCATATGCCGTGGCCCACGGTGACGAAGGCCACGGCGCTGGTTTTCAGTGTGCCCCATGCCAAGTGAGGGTCACGGACCATTGGTAAAATAAATAAAATAGTAAGCTGCATAGTATTTTCTAAACATACATAAATAGTAACATAAAGTGGTCTACGTGCTTTTATGGTAAAATTATTACGATACTAAGCTAAGAAGTTAAAGGGATAGAAACTGTGGCACCTATCCACGTGCCCGCCATCTTTTTTTACGTTTGCACACACTAGAAGTGGTACAAACAAGAATGTCAAGTGATATTGTAGGTACCCTAAAATGTCACGTTCCCAAGACATTTCTGGAGTTAAAGATAGCTAAATGACGAAAATGAAAACCACTAAAAACCAGGAATTAAGTGTCAATACGCACTCCATTGCATTGCATTCAAAAATGATAGTAAGTAGAAAGACAAATGCATTTTTGTCCGAGGGGGCACCTAAGCAATTTTTAGTGTATTGTTCGTTTTTTTTTTCCATGTATGAGTACCTATTTTTGCTTGCCTTCTGTCAAATAAAGAATTTTCTTTTCTATTCTAAAACCATCATCATTGTGTAGACTGGTCTTAATATCCTGCCCCAACGGCGATTTCAGAATCGCTCACATTTCGTATTCCTTCGGAGCGAGTACTCGTACCTACCAGAGTAAATACAAATGAGTAGGTCATCTTCATAGAAACGCCCGAGCGCGGTTTGTATGTGAGCGCGCCAATACGTATGCGGCGCGCACGCACACACTGACAAAATTTAGCGTGGATTAGCGGTGAGGTGCGCTGAATTTTGTNTGACAAAATTTAGCGTGGATTAGCGGTGAGGTGCGCTGAATTTTGTCAGTGTGTGCGTGCGCGCCGCATACGTATTGGCGCGCGCTCACATACAAACCGCGCTCGGTGCGTTTCTATGAAGATGACCTACTCATTTGTATTTACTCTGTACTTACTCCGTCATTGCGCTACTCCCATTCCGAGAATAGAGTTGTTTGAACGAGTGAGTTTTAGCTTTGGACGTGTTTATTGGGTTAACGGGTGTCATAGCAAGTCAAAACAAATGAAATTGCTTTCTTCTGTGAAGAAAATAGTGGATTTAATCGAACGTAGTTAGATCACACAGTCATGTAGGTACTCATGCCAAATTGAACGAAATTATTTGTAAGACTGACTTAGCCCTCTTTAATCTCACTAGTTCAGCACTGAACTATGGAAACTGAAAACCAGTGTTCGTCCCGGGTTTAGCTTTTTTGTAATAAGGGGGAAACGTTTCCTATCAATGAGTTACTTACTACAGCAATGGCCCACATTTTTGACCCGAAGTAGTGGGAGGATCAATTATTTTAAATCATTTTTAAACTCTTCCCAATCCAATAGATGTTGTAAAAGGTGACATATGCGAACATGAACTCTCTAAACTATCTTGGGGAGGCCAAATCCTCAATCAGGTATTGAGACTTGATTTTTTATGCAGAACAAGGCAGATATTTGACTGCAATCATACCTGATGATAAGTACGATGCAGTCTAGGATGACATACCTGTCCTGTAAATACCTTTCACCTTGAAGAGGTCTAATGCACTCGTAAAGTTTGGTCGCCGAGCACGTAGAATTTTGTCCAATGACCCCAATCTACCTATTCTTATCGCTCGCGCGTATATTGCTGTCGCAATTGTGCGACGGGCGGCAGCAGTGAGTGTGCGAGCGCCAGACTATAGTTGCAGTGGTCGTACTAGTAGAGACTAAATAACGTAATAATGATGATACTTACTGAACAGCAAAGACAGCAGCCAGATGATGAGTATGGCGGTCTTGGCGCGGCCGGTGGTGGACTTGAACTTGAGCGGGAAGCAGATGGCGTACCAGCGGTCCACGCTGATGAACGTCAGCGTCAGCACCGACACCGTCACCGACACCGACTGCCGACAAAACATTAGTATTAATAAACCTGAATGTTCGTTACCAATCGATCAACATGGAAAGCATTGGGGGAGGCCTATGTTCAGCAGTGGACGTCCCTATGGCTGAAATGATGATGATGATGAATGTTCGTTGGTAAAAACTTGGTAAAATTAAGTTCTTAAGAGGCGAACACGGACCGGAGGATAGAATTATGTAGGCTGGCCTACTAATAGGTGAACTAACAATCTGATGAAGGTCGCGGAAAGCATCTGGATACGGGCAGCGCAAGCCCGATCATTAGAAGTCTTTGGGGGAGGATTATGTTTAGCAGTGGACGTCCTGAAGTTGAAATTATGATGAGACTAGCGTCCCGCCCGCGACTTCGTACGCGTGGATCCCATTTTACCCCCTTCGGCCTTTGCCACACTTAACACGGAAATGCCGTCGCAGAATAGTAATAGCTTGTATTGGCGGAAGACCCTCAGATTGGAGGTTCGTAAAATCCGATCTTAGCATCTAGAGAGCATACATTTTAAAAGACAATTCCGTAAATTGGCGTCTTTTTTTTTTCGCGCGGCCATCGAACAAACTTTGTTTTTTGATTACAAAATAGTGTAATAAACCAAACTTATTATGACATGTATACCTCTAAACTCAGTCTGAACTGAGTTACGAGCATTAGAAGTTTGATGATTTTCATACTAGATTTGCTTTTTGCGCGCAAAGTTTTGTAAGAAATTGCAACAAACTAGTGAGATTGTATGTGTAAACAAACAATACCATCCATTAAAGGCTCCAGACATCAGTATGGAGCAGAATCAGCGCAATAAAAAAATTGCGCAATATTTTGTTGCAATTTCTTACAAAACTTGCGCACAAAAAGCAAATCTAGTATGAAAATCATCAAACTTCTAATGCTCGTAACTCAGTTCAGACTGAGTTTAGAGGTATACATGCCATAGTAAGTTTGGTTTATTACACTATTTTGTAATCAAAAAACAAAGTTTGGTCGATGGCCGCGCGAAAAAAAAAAGACGCCACTTTCCATACAAAATCTGGCATTGCCATTTCAAGTCTCTTACTTCAAAAATAGAGAACTTTCATACAAAATTCCAACCCCCTTTTTACCCCCTTCGGGTTTGAATTTTGCAAAATCCTGTCTTAGTGAGCACCTACGTTCCAAAAGGAACCCCGATGCACTTATAGTTTCTGAGATTTCGTGATGAGTGAGTGAGTCAGTCAGTCAGTCAGAGACTTCGCTTTTATAGATGAAAAAAAAAAGATAAAGATGAAATTAGATCCGAGTTGTGCAGTCGTGTGAAAGTTTATGCGGATGGAAGGGTGGACGGATTTTTATGAGGATTATCTAGTAACATGACCACACAAGGTAAAATCTAGTCATCTAGTAATTGTCGTCAGTGTTATGGTATACAAATAAATAGGAAAACACCATAAAGTACTCTTTAGGTACCTTATTTTTTAACCTCAAAGTGGTTCCATAATAAGGAAGAGCTTGATTTATGAGAGACGTATAAATCAAGCTCGACGAGACGCATGCGTGGAATGTAAATGAGGCGATGTGTCAAAGTCAACATTCCTCCAGTTTTGTTTAAGAAAAAGTTAAGGCCCTAGGGAGAACATAAACAATCGTGAATCTCTGCCATGCTCTATGGTTTGCTTTAAGGGAATCTCTTCAGGGTATGCTGGGCTGCGATTGTAAATTTTTGAATGAAAAGATTTAATTCAGAACCATATAAGGCAATTTCATCAATGCTAGGTACTGGAGTTACTTAATACTAACAACTTGAAGTTTCGGCTTGTCGACGCGACGTGTTGAGACACGTGTTTCTCTATTTTAGTTAAAATGAAATGCGAAAGTTTAAAATCTTATAACACACACTGATTGTAGACTTTCGTCTTTAGACAAGGAGGTATTTTGAATGAAAATAATGTTGTGTGCTCAGGGTGTCGGATTCAACAATTGACCTCTTCTAAAAAAAATACTAAATGGAAAAAATAAATTATGTTACATCATCAGCAAGACGCAGTGTTACCGACTTTTTATACCGAAAATACAAATATTTTTACCTTATTTTTCGCGTTTTATTCCGTCACTTTCGGGACAATATAGTCTTGGAAGCCATTAAAAAGCTCACAGAAACGTTTGCGAGTCCATTTTATTAGGGTTCCTTTAAACGACCAAAGGAACCTTTGTGGTATCTCTTCGTTCGTACGTAAGTTGCAACGGTCTGCAGTTTTTGGTAGCTTTATCCCGGTTTTTTAAACAGGGACACGCGCGATATGTTTCTGTAACACACAAAAGCTAGTTAGTCGTTCTTGTATTTGTGCAACTCATGTAATGTGCTATTAACTTGAAAGTCGTCAATAAATTGTGAAATTCACCAGCGCCTATAATAATTTTATGTTAAAGAAGCCCTGCTCTTTTCATTGTAGTTCTTGTAACTCACGAAGACAAGTGGAGTTTTACTTGTGTGTATACGTGTAGGCACATGCACATAATAACGATAGCTCACTCGCCTTCGTGAATTGCAGTAACTATACCAATGAAAATTCGTCGTACCGATTTCGTCGTAACCTAGTTTATGATGTTTTTGTAATAAACTTAATAGTCCACTTTAATCTCTTCAGGAACTATTCAATTTTCCGAGATCCTATAAGATAAGAGCCTTATTTTGTAAGCTTCAGGGTAAGTATACGGGGTTTATTGGTAGAGGCTGGGAGCACAATAGTAAGGCGATAACATCGGTGATTTTCCCAGACTAATTTCCGGGAAAATCGCTCCAGCCGACGTGTATTCCCAGTGGAGTAGTCCCATGATGGGACTGCTCCACTACATTCTCGACCCGGCTTTGTCTGTTTTTTGAAAATATTGGGGGTGGGATAGTTCAGCCACGGTAATACTATCTATACAGTATTCCAACTCGGCCATATTTTTGAAAAAAATGTCAACAGCCCCGCGGTACGTCACGGTATGACAAAATGCGATAGGGCTGCTTACCTACAGTACCCATTCTAATAAAATTACATCTGTCTACTTAGAATTTCTATCTAGTTTTGTGATTGTAATTTTTTTTATTTAAACGCGTGTTGTTTTGTGATTAGTAGATTTAATTTTAAAAAATATACTGTAGTAGGTTCTTCAATGAAAGGCAGGATTTCAGTATATGTCCGTTTACTTCAGGAGTTTCAGAGTAGGTACAGTACAATTAGCGACAAGATAACAACTAAGTAGGAGTACGCGGTGTCGCGGCGCGGAGGTGCAAGGTCCGGAATATCCAGTATATGGGATCCCGTACGCCAGCACAGTCGGCGGGAATAACGTGTTCCGATGCCCTAGTAACGCTAAAAGGTCCAACAGATCCAGAGATGGATGCTGCTGTACGCTTCAAGCTCCTATGCCATGGAAGACGCACGGGCAATCTTGCCCTGACTACTTAAGGACGGGAAAAAATCAAATGATATCGCGAGCTAACTACGAACAGTGCCATCTATTGACAGCCGTGCGAACTACGTAGTGTCGTTGCTCGGTGATAGGTGTTGCTGATTATAGCAGCTCGTTGTTACAATACTAAAATAATTTTGAATCTACTAACCATAATGAGTACTTAATGACCTGTTACTTTAATTTCAGGCGGGCGAAATCGTTGGCAAAAGCTGGTTTTATACAGTATATAATTTTCATTTCAAATCAAACTGACTGAAAATGACAATTTCTGACAGTTAATGACTAGTTTTTGACAAAGATCGTAAATGACGCTCAGTCAAATTCAATCAGCTTAGTCATTTTCAACGCCATCGACGTCCGTTCGGCACATTCGCGACACCCCTAACTTTTGGATTTCGACCACGTCCCGAGATTTGAAATTCGAAGGAAAGCTCGCGTTTCGTCGGTTTATATGAAGTTACAATACTGTATGATATTATTACCGTGGTTCAGCAGTGGACGTCCTATGACTGAAATTATGATGATGTTTTAAGTATTATTAGATTTTCAACAGATTTTCAACAGCGTTATTCTGGACGTGATGGTGAATACATCTCTTTCGAACTTCTTAAGAAAGTCGACCTTTTTCTTATGATTCTTCAATCGAAAGGGTAAGAAAATGAAACCACACGTACCATAGTCAACACACTCATTCAAACGTCTACAATTCTGGGATTTAGCACTAAAGAAATAAAGCTGCAAATGTAAGAAAGTGGTCATTTTTGGAAGGTTGATCAGCTATCGACTGTTTAAGTAATTGAATAAGTCTGATTGGTTATTGACAAGGGTGGGTTCTAGATGATTTATAGTAGCCAGTTAGGCAACCAAATTAAAGAGGGATTCTGTAAGTTTCCTCTGTAGGCTATAAATCCTTTATTGCGATTGATTTAGGGCTTAGTGAGCTGATGGGTATATAGCCTACTTTCTAAATTAGTTTCTACGCAATATACGAGTGTATCCCTATTCGTTATACTTAGGGTGGATTCGACCAAACAATAATCATTATCACATAATAAATCTACTTCATTCGCGGATAAAAGTTTGGTCGAATCGGGCCTTAATTGTGAAAGTAACTCTGTCTGTTTGTTACACTTTCACACTTACGCTCGTATTCACAAACATTGCTATGAGGTCTCACAGTGGTCGTGGACGCACAGGGTCACACACGAACCAATCACAGAGCTCTATTCAACGATGTGAGTTCATTTTGCTGCTGCCACAGAACCAATTTTGATGAACTTGGTAAAGAGATAGTTTGAGTCCCGCTAAAGGACTTACAGGATAATAATAATATGTAGTTTTTATCCCTGTTTCAGGATGGGTCACAAATGCGTGCCAAGCCAATGCCTGATCCTTCATTTTGCCTTTGGTAAATAAGAAAGTCCTTTGTCCAGCAGTGGACGTCTTTCGTCTGAAACGAACGAAATGAGAGAGATCGTGTTCCTACAGTGAATATTTACACCATTATCTTTTAAAGTAGACCTAGATACTGTACTGAAATGTCTTGTTTCA